CCCGTCCCCTCGTTCGCTGCAGCATGTGGGCAGAAGCGGCTTGGCGGGGGCCCGCGGCAGTTCCCAGAGCCGGTTCCGTGTGGGCCCAGGCAGGCAGMGCCAGCTCCTATGTTCACTGCAACGTGTGGGCAGCGGCCGGGCGGGACCCCTGCTCTGCGTTGCCGAGGTTCAGTAGGCTGTGACAAGCTGACACCTCCAATTAAACTTACTAGTTCCGGTCTCCTTCCAGTGGAATTTTGCTTGAAGTTTCTCAGCATGACGCATGTAGGTGTATTAATGAGTCTCTCTGATCCCCTTACCACGGAGGCATTGAATGTGCTGCCTCTTCGCTGGCCGCCATGTTGGGTCCCCCCTTACCTTTTTTTTTTTTTAAGATGATTTTTAAATACTTGCTCATTGTAACTTTATAAACAGAAATGCATATTTGAAAAGTAGAACTAAAGCTTTCACATACTTTTGTTATTGTTGTTCCCTCTTTTGCAATATTGGGATCAAACCCACAGCTAGTGCATGTTAGGCACACATTCTACCACTGAGCTGGATCACAGGCCCTTCACAATTTCTTCTCTGTTGTTCACAGTGATGCTGTGACAGAGGTCAAATGTGTACTTTTGAACCCATGATTACAAAGGAAACAACTGTGATTTCCCTAAATTAATTTAGGGATTAGAATACAAGTAAAACTTGTATTTAGGCTAGCCTTTCTAAATCTTTATTGTAGCATTCATTCTGATTTAAGCTAAATGTTGTGTGTGTACTGCTGTGCTATACATAATTACTTTTTTGTTGTTGGTGCTAGAGATTTAAACTGTTGCCTCCTGTCTGCTATTCAAGCACTCTTACCACTGAGTTTTCTCCAACCCCCTGTACGTAAAATGATAAATTTCTTTTTGCCAGTTGATGCAATACAAATGGACTATAATRCATCCATTACCATTTCAAATTCAAAACATGACTCTGAGGAAGCCAGTGATAAAATGAACTCATGTATCAATTCTACAACTTCTCCTAGGAAGGATACTGGTGTGCAGACAGGTATGTAAAATTTTCATTTGTTAAAGTTTAAAAATTAGAGAYTTTTATAATAGCTTTATTGAGATATGTCCACTAGAAAACACTCATGGACATATTTATAGTTGTGTAGCCAGTACCCAATCAATTTTAGAACCTTTTCATGACTGAAACCTAGTAACAATCCATTAACTCTCAACCCATTTCCCCTCTCCTCCAGTTTGCATTCTGTCTTGGAATATTTCATGTAATTGGAATTGTACCATTGACTGGCTTCTGACTTAGCCTAACTTTTAAGGTTCATCAATGTTGTAGTACTTTTGTTGCTGAATATTGTTCCATTGTGTGAAAATACATTTTGCTTGTTCCTTCATGATTTGATGGACACTGGGTTTATAAGTATGCTGTTATGAACACTCACGTACAAGATTGTTTTGTATGGGGGATTGACCCTGGGGGCACTAGAGTTACATGCCTCTTTTTTTGAGACAGGGTCTTGTTAAGTTACTGAGTATGGTCCTGAACTTGGTCCTGAACTTGTGATCCTACTGCCTAAGTCTCCCAAGTTGCAGGGCTTACAGGTGTGTGCTACTGTCACCAGCCCAAGTTTTGTGTGGATATGTTTCAGTTCTCTTGGGAGATAAATACTGCCTTATTATCATCATTCTAACTCTGCTTATTACGAATCATTTTTTTTTTAAATGGTGTTACCCAGTCTGGTCTTGGGAATCTTGGACTCAAGTAATCCTCAGCCTTCTCAGTAAGTGGAATGAGCAGGAAGTCATTTTACTATTTCACTTTTTGAACTAGGTACCAGTGGATCTTCCTGTCATTACTTGTGATTCTTACAGATCCCAAGAGTCAAACCAACTTGGCTGGCCATTTAGCTATGCTATTATTATCTAAGCCACTGTTTACTGTCTTTGGACCCTACTTCATACCAGATTAATTAACTGCATCATGGGTATGATTGGTGCCACTGAAATGCACATTTAATTACGGTTGTGGCTCAGTGGTAGAGCACTAGCATGCTTGAGGCTCTGGGTTTGATCCTCAGCACCACATTGATAAAGATGTGTCCATCTACAACTGAGAGAACTAAAAAGAATTTCCCTCCAGCAATTGCATTTCTGGGTATACACCCCATTCCCAAAAAAGACCACCGTTATTTATAATAGCCAAAAAGGAAACGTGCATGTATGCACAGACAAACAAAATGCAGTCACACCGTAGAATATTTATTAATACAGCATCAAGAAAGAACATGCCACACAACATGGATGAACTTTGAGGACTTTAAGTGGCCAGTCACAAAATGACAAGTGAGACTATTACATAATTCAAATTTATATAAACACAAGTAGAATGGTGGTTGCCAAAAGTTTTAGGGGGTAGTAACTAAGAAAATTGTTTATAAAGTGATGAATTTTGGTATGTCATAGTTTCAATTTTTTTTTTTTATAGATGACTTAACTACAGGCATATTCGCCAATGCAGAATCATACTGTGAATATGTAAAGGAAAGGGAAATCACAAATTGTTCATCTCCTGAGATTTCTGTAGAATTTAATGGACAATTTAAGACAGACAAGCAAGAATTAAGTAAGAAAAATGCCAACTTAGAAAAAGAAAACAGTTTATGTAATGATCAGTGTAATGAATTTATAAAACCAGAGAAACAAACAAAACACATGAAGAAGTGTCCTAGAAGGCCTGAATGGAATTTAAATAAGCAGCTCAAAAGGTATGTTCCAGCATCAGAAAAGTATCCCATACAGCTTCAAAGGCAGAGAGAAGAAAAAAAGGTAAGGAGGCAGATGGAACTGCTTCATTTGGTAGAGAGAAATAATCCTGAACACCTCTCTCAAAATAGAGGCACTTCATCAGAAGTTCATTCATCTCAACAAGAAACTGAATCACAGAGCAGGTGGCATCTAATCAAAAAGGTAAAAACCTTTTAAGCATGTATCAACAGTTTCCCAGCAGTATGTTTTGACAAAGAATATGTAAATTTGTAAATAAGTTTTATAGGATAAGACAGCCATGCTTATTCTTTTTGTGAATTATCGTTGGCTTTATGCTGCACCAAAGACCACATGGCTCAAAAACTGAAAATTGCTACCTACCTCTTATTCGTTTATATAAAAATCCATGGACATTACCATTATGTGTTGTTCACAAAATGTGTCCATCTTTCAGGAAGAAGAATCTCTGAAAATTCATTCATTGAACAAGGAAAGGTATGTGGCTTATTCCATGCCTACTTCTGTGTCATTCTATATATATAGGGAAAGGCAGAGGTTATAAGGATGGCATTTTAGCTGGAAAGGGATGGCTTTATAACTCTGCATGAACTAGCTAATTAATCTGTTGTGGTTTACCCCCCCCCCAAAAAAAAAACAGGTTTCAGTCATCACCAATTCCAGCAGTGAAAAACAGAACTCAACAAACTCAGACTAATAATATATCACACTTACCACTAAAATATAGTAGCTGTGAAACAGAGAATCTGATCTCAAGAGGTGGTCAAACAGGATTGTCTGAATCATCCCATTTTATTCCTTATGTTCGAACAAATGAGATCTATTACCTTGATCCTGATGCACCATTGTCTAGGCCTTCAACCCAGGAACCTCAATACCAAAATTCTCAGGGTATGTAATACCACCTAATTTATAAGTGAAGATCAGTGTTAGTTTACTTACAAATCTTACAAATCCATAGCATGAATTTGACTTTGTAAATTTTATCTTGCTTCAGATTGTGACCAAGTCTCTGACCACCACATTAGGGATCCACTCCTTAATCCTAACTTGCTGAAAAATAGGGATCGACAGCAAGCAATCCTTAAAGGACTTTCAGAACTGAGACAGGTATGAGCGTTTCACCAAGTCCAGATGTTACCTTTCAAGGGAGGGGAAGACTGTGTGGCTGAATCCCAATTTAAAGTTACATAATTTTCAATTATGATTTTCCAGTGTGAAATCATTAGATGGTTCAATTTTATTGAACAACAACAAAAAAACCCATACATTTAACAGCAAGATAAAAAACAAATTATGCTTTAAACTGAGTGTAATGAATGTATTGGCAGTTTTAAATATTGATGGCTGAGTAGAAATTACATGTATAATCTTACCCGACTTTCTCCATCTGGGGCTTTGGTTTAGAAATTAGAGGTAAAATCTTCCCTCTAGAAAATGTGAATGGGTCACTAAGAAAAAGGTCTAATTTGGGTCTCTCTATATATAGCTTAAGATAACTACTTAAGATAATTACTCAGGGTGGGGATCAAGCTTAAGCTATGGCACACACACCTTACTAATGTATCAATGTGATTTCAGGGCCTTCTCCAGAAGCAAAAGGAGTTGGAAACTAATCTCATGCCTTTAGCTGCAAATCAAGAAGAAAATTTTAGTTCTTCATTTTAAACAAATGATAAAATGTGCTCACTGTATTTTTCAAGTACCCTATGCTTGTACATTATGTAGTAAATGCTGTCTTTTTTTTTTATTAAATAAAAGCAGACACTTTTGTAAAAGCTCACTGCTATAAAACTTACCTTAGTAGTCTGGAGTTCCTGACCTGTTCTTCCATGGCTTTTATGTACCTGAGAGTACCAGAAGACTTAACACATTTTTAGACTTTTACTAAATAACCCAAATTCAGTTTAGGCTCCTGTGGAAGTTTCTCTAAATCCTGACATTTATTGTAGAAACTGCTGCAATTTTCAAAAATGTAGAAGTTAGAATTAGACCACAGAAAAGTTAATCCGACTTGTATACTTCTGGTTGTCCTGTGTAATTAAACCGCACAAAATCCTATGTACACAAAAGCTTAAGTCATCTAATTTTACATATGAAGCCTAAGTACAGAAAACAAATGTAAAACTTAAAAAATGCCAACATGAGAATTCAAATACAATATGTTAGAAATATATATTTATTTCAATTTTCAGATGCTTCAACTGATACAGGCCATCATGATTTAAATAAGAGGAAAAACATTTCAGAAAGGATAAGAAACCTTTTGCTTAGAGAAAGAAATATAAATTGTTAATAAATTGTTAACTCACTTAAACAGAAAAAGTTCACAACAACCTTTTTTTTTTTTTTAAAGTTACCACATTTCTCTTTTTCATTTTTTCCCCCAATTTATTGGAGATGGAGGTTTCTCTCTATCCAAGCTTTGAGTATAAGCAGATAAAAAGTCATTTTCATTTTCTTGACACTGACTTGATGAAAGGGCATATGGTGTCCCCAAAAATGTCTGATGAGTGAGAACATTAAAATGACTAAACTGATGGGACATATTTAATTGACTCTGGTGAACCTCAAAGTTGCTATATGAATCTTGTTCTGCTGAACTGTTCTCTCCTTCAGAGCATACTATATCATCAACAGAAGCGCTCTCTTCAGAATCAATTTGGTAAGTCTTATCTTCTAATAAACTTTTTTGCACGTCAAGAGATGACTGCAACTCAATTTGAATATTCTTTTTTTGATCTGTTCCACTGGATCCTTTGGTCTCTTTCGCCAATATTTCTGAATGAAAATTGCTGCATACTTCTATATGTGAGATTTCATCCCCTGAATCCAGAGACATATCCTCTTCATCCTTTTCATCGTTTTCTAAAAGAGCTACATTTAAAAAACAAAAAGTCCTCCTCTATTGAATTACACAATTTGTTTAAGTTTTAAAATTATACACTACTCACACAATATAATGCGTCAGGGTCTGCAAGTCCACAATCCCTTAAAGCTTGGTCTTCTGCCACAAGTTCACTTAGTCACAACACTCACACTAGGTGTGAATGTCCAGATAATCCGATGCTAAAAGCTTCTGCGAAATGTGTTCACGTTTAATGTTGGGAAATCCCAACTCCCAGCTCCAAAGGGGTTAATGTCAAAACAGCATCTAAAGTTATACGGTAATTCAGTATTTGACAAAACAAATATAAAATAAAATTTYTGACATCTAGCTTCACTGAATTACTAAACTAAGCTCTATTGAATGATCATCTCTGCTTTTCACCAAAAACAAAATTAAATACATTGTTCATTTTATGTAAACTCTGGAACCAAAGCAGAGGCCATCTCATAAGACTGAAGCTATAATATTCCTACTATCTMCAATTACATTGCTTCATACACCTGAGGAGATTTAGTAACCCAATGCTAAATCCCCAGATCTGGTTTCCTACTTTTTTTTCCTTATTAAAACCCCTTATTGGACAGCAGCAGTCAATAAAGTGTATGTACCCTCAAAGAGAAAATGCATACTCCACAGTATGCATAGGCCACAGTATATGGTAACAACTTGTACTGACTACTTGTGCATGCTGAGTACTAAAATGATAAATGCCTTTAAACACTAACCCTAAGCCTATTTACACTGAAGTCAGTGGTTTCAAAATAGGCATTTCAGTATTTCATACCAGACAAAACCATTCCTTTTTCTGTCTGCCTTTAAAGAAAATAAAACTACTGAAAAGTTACCTGACTGTGACTCAAGGTTCTCATTAGCACCAAACAACGGAAGGTTTTCTTCTGTGACGGAGTTGTGATAGCCCACAAGAGTTTTAAAGTTTTGCATAAAGTCTTCTGCAGTTGCAACTACTATTCCATTGTCTGTGTAACTGGAAAGCACCTTGATGCTCTTCTCTTAAAAACAACAACAAAAAAAGCACTTGAACATTCGTAGACAAACAGTGATGCCTAACCACAACAAAATCCTTTATTTCACACATTCAAAATTCTAGCTTAACCACCCATCTCAGCCCCAGGAAATCCTTTTTTAAGCTTAAGAGTGTTTTCTTTACCTGTTAAAAAGACTATGTGTCGCTGTTGTATGTTCTGAGCCTGAAGTCTGATAAGGCAATCCAATTCTGGAGCATTTCGAGTTTGTGAATCACAATTGTGGTATGACAAGATTTCAACCAGATGTTTCTTCTGATAGACATTCAGAAGTGTCAACAAACTTAGAGCTTTAGCATTCAATCTGAAATTAAAGTTAAAAATCTGGGTCTGTACTTCTAAAGTTTTTACTTCAGATTAAAACCTTAATTCCTTAGTTAATGAAAATTATACTCTTAGCAATAGGGATGCTCAGGAGAGAGAGTGGGAATTGGGCAGTCTACAGGCAAGCTGGCAGGGGTGGTCACTATACTACCTTAGGCTAAAATTTCAATCATTCTACTCTAAGCTATTGATACAATGTAAGGCACAAGGCAACAAGCCATTAAAAAAACTATTGGCTGCAGTTAGGAAAGTGAGGGAACTGTTGATAAGTGTATATATAAACTGTAATAGAAGAGATTTGCCCTAAACCCACTTCACAGGTTTTTAAGGTAAATTTTAAAAGGTGAATAGCTGTAAGAATCAAATAACTGGAAATTAGTTAACCCTGAATTCTCTTGAAGAGTGTACCTCAGTCTGATTAGGAAATGCAGAGTAATACAAATATAAAAAGTTCTTAATTACCTTTTAAACTCTACAGTAGGATAAGTATCTCAAACTCATCTGATACTATACTTGTTTGTGGACTTGTCCTCCAAGGAACTGACCTTAGGCATATTAGAAGTAATATGTACAAATATAAATGAATATCCTAATCACCAGTCTCCTTATCAGGTTGAGATTAATCCTTGTCCAAATACTTGTTAGGAGAGGGCCTGATCTAGTTGGCTTATACAATTCAAAGAAAAAAAACTGTAGATCCATTTTGATTATTTTCGATTCATAAGCACATTAAGCCAGTTGTACTTTACACAAAACCAGAACTTAAACATCTATCTAAACAATAATACCACTTCGACCTTAGATTGGCTATGGATAGCTGTCAAAATCRCAGTGTATCTACAAACATGGGGAAAAAATTTGTGAGCACAGTATTAAAATCAACCATTATACATTTATTTTTTCCCAAATCTTACCTGCCTAGTTCTTTCAGCTTTTTCTGAAATTTACAGTGAACTTTCCACTGCCATTTTCCTTCTGGGGTACTAAGGTCTTCAAGGAATGCCAAAAAATTTTTAAGGCTCTCTGTTGAAATAATGAAATTCCTTTTCAGTTAACAATCCACATCTGAATTATGGAAGAAGTGCTTGTTCATATCATGTAAGAGATCTACTTTCCTATGTACTCTTTTCCTAAGAGACTTACATTATCCCTAAAGCATTAAGACTATATCTGCACCGGAAAAAAGAATACACTGATGACAGTACCAATATCAGAAGTAATCTAGGGGTTGGAGATATAGCTCAGTTCATAGAGTGCTTGCCTAGCATGTACAAGGCCCTGGGTTAAATCCCTAGCACCATCCCAAAAAAGTAATCTACACGAGATTCACAGAAAAGAATTTAAAATACTAAAAATAGGAAAGAAATCTGAGGTGATAAGAGCCCAGGAAAAAGATTAAAATATACTGGTTACTGTGAATGACAGAATAACAGACAATACCATTAAGAAGTCAAATCCCCCATTTTCTCTAGAAACCTAGGGGTGGGGATGGTGAACAAGTTACATGCTCATAAGACTGCATTAACCTTACCAATCGTAACCACTTCTGGATTTAAAATTGATTCATCAGACACAATAAAACCTCCTGACACAAATAAATCATTGTATGTATGATTTTTAACATCATCCAGGCTATCAACACCAGCAAAATTAACACAGGGGAGTTTCTTTAAAGTCACCAAGCCAGGTACCTGTTAAATATAAAAAATAGAAAAGGATGGATAAGAAAATGAAATGATAAGTAACCTACACATAAAATCTTTATGGTTCATCTGTATTAATGCATTGCAGCTGAAAATAATTTCTTCAACATTATTTCCCAATATATAAACCACTATTTAAATAATTGACAATAGACCTGAAAACAAAATGGACAAATGGTAACCAGTCTGTAACACAGGAATATAGTCAAAATTCAGAAGACAAGATTATCTCTTGACAGGATACCTCCAAATCAAAGGGAAAGGAGGACTAGTTTGGCAAAGAAGAGGTAGCACAAATAGGTGCCTGAGACATAAAAATAAAGGTGAGAATACATATTTAGCAGGACCCCAGCATTCAAGGATTCAGTACTTTTATTAGTACTGACTACTTTGACTGTCAGAAGAAAATATGATGTACAGCAATTTAGGAATTTTGCAGTGGTACAAAACAACTGCCCCCAAGCTAATTCATGAAAGGATACATATGTTTTATCATATTTAAAGCTTACAGACAAAACCTTTAGTTTCAGACAGTTAAGATTTAAAAATAAGGGAGTTATAAAAAACCAAAATAAATATGAATGTGACTTAACAGACTACCTTGTGAATGAAACCTGCAATGTCTTCATTTTGAATAATAATCAATAGTTTATCTAATTTTGATCTTCTTTCCAAAAACTGTTCTGGGTGGCATTCTGTATTGCCTAATTTGATAAGATATTCCTGTTAAAGAAAAACAACTATATTAAAAAGCTTTTTGGTAAATGATGCAACAAACAGATAAATTTTACTACTAGG